TTCGCTTTTGATTCGATATTTAATCTTTTTTTAATGTTATATGAATACAAGATTTCTCCCGTGACTCCGTCTGCGTAGAATTAAAAAGATTAGTAAGTATGTATTCTTTCAGACTATTACCTAAATCTTTGCCAAATTTCATCCAGATCTGTTCAGCAGTTTAGGCTACAAATACCAACAAAAATCCGTCCATCTAAACTTTCGCATTTATAATATTAGTAAGTTAATTCCAATAAGTTAAGTTACTTTACTTTACATAATAAGCTAATTTGTCTTCTCTCTATGTATTGTGATATTTAATACATTACTTCGATCTTAGTTGAGTGTAATCATATTATTCATAGTAATATTATAAATGCGAAAGTTTAGATGAATGGATGGATGTTTGTTAGAGTTTGTAGCCTAAACGGCTGAACGGATTTCGTTGAAAGTTAGCATATATGTAGAGGATAGTCTGGAAGAACACATAGGCAGTTCACTTTTCTTTTTTAATTCCACGCGGATGGAGTCCCGGGCGAATACTTGTTTAATAAAAAAAAACACAGATTCTATTCACGTGGTAGTTTTTACCATGACATTTTAATTAATTCAAACCCTTTCCATGGTTCATTCTCACTGCGGTGATTAATATTTAATGTCTCATTAACAGACGCCTGATCTCACTTCGAATATGTTCCATTCTTCATGCGAACATCTTTTATTTTACTTTTAAAATGTTACTTATGTTTTTTTTTTTCATTAAAATTGGAATTTGTTCATCCATTAGAATCCATTAGAATCAGAATTTCTATGTTATAATAATAGAAAAAAATCTAGCAACAAAAAATAACACCATGTATAAGGTATTAATATCATCTAAAATTGATAAGTATTAATACAGAGTATTTATTATTATTATGAATCGTAGTTAATTCTAATTTTCCCTAATAAATTGTTTAAACGTATAACTGGGATGGGAAACTTCAATTCTACAATAACTCCGTTCTCGTTAAATTATCAAATAAAATAACAAATGTAAGTATCAAATAAAAAAACAAGTGTTCTTCCAAGCTATCGTCTACACTTTACCAAATTTTCGATAAAATTTGGTATGGATGTAGAGGATAACCCGGAAGAATACATAAGCTACTCACTTTTTTTTTCATTCTACGCGAAAGGAGTCGCGGACGAAAGCTAGTTAATTATAAAAAGTATAGATTTTTAGTTTAGAATTTTTGTATGTATTGAAATAACTCAAAAACGATAGAACTCATAAATTATTTCACCATTAGAAAGGTCATTTCTTTATGAGTAGAATATAATATTTTTTATTATTTTTAGTTTACGCAGACGAAGTCGCGAGCTACAGTTAGTATCATATAAGAGAGGAGTATTAGTTTCTGCCTAAACTCTAAGACTCTAGATTTAGAGCTCGAGTTGTAATATTACCTAATGTATGTTTCCATTTAGTTTACTAAAACAAACAAAAGAGTAATTCAATATATCTTGAAAGCAAAAATATGTATATGGAACTGTATATCATTAATAGAATTAAGGCTTTGTCCGGTGACATGAGCTTATTCACTGTAAATGGAACAAAAACGTCCGTATTGCGTAATTGAATGAAGGGATACGGTAGGCATTTCGATTTCGATCACTGCCAGAAATGTCATTATTACATTTTAATGTCACTATTTTAATGTCATTAAAATAGTTACATGTTTTTAATGTCACTATTTTAATGAAATAGTTACATTTTTTTAATTTGTCAAATATGTAACTATTAAATTTTAATTATTAATTATAAATAATTACTAAAATATTTATTAATTTTATGTCATTAAAATAGTTACATATTATTGATGTCACTATTTTAATGAGATTCTAATTTAATTAAAGAAATTAAAACATTCTTCTTTGATGTTAAAGCCATTAATGCACCCTTATGTACTAAAATTATAAAGAGGAAGAATTTGTATTTTTGTATGTATTGGAATAACTTAAAACTACTGGACCGATTTGAAAAAATGTCACCATTAAAAAGCTACGTTATCAGTAATATGGCCTTGATTTTTTATTATTTTAAATTTTACGCGAACGTAGTCGCGAGCAACAGCTAGTCTACTGTCTACTATAAGTTCCTCTTGGCAACTATTCATAATACTAATGTTATAAATGCGAAAGTTTAGATGGATGGATGGATGTTTGTTAGAGTTTGTAGCTTAAACGGCTGAACAGATCTCGATGTAATTTGGTACAGTCGTAGAGGATAGCCTGGAAGAATACATAGGCTACTCACTTTTGATTTTTTTTAATTCCACGCGCAAGAAGTCGCGGGCAAAAGTTAGTTACTTATATTTGTTTAAATTACAGATACTCGTATAGATATTGTAAGTTCTAATCGGTCATTTCACTATATTCCTATAAATCTTCACGTAAATCTTTTTGTGTTAAAAAGGTTGTTAAATCGATCGCAAGTTCTCGGTTGGAGAGTCAGCTTTGTTATAAAATGCGCATACTTGTTATGTTCCACGTGACGTCACTCGACTTGGTGACGTGCCTCGTTACCGGCGAAAGAAAGTCAAGCGTAAACTCGATTATGACAATTACTTCCTTTTTGTTTCTGCTGTTTTGTTACCAGAATACGTAACAAATATGATCAAACAAAAGAAACTAATATACCACAATCTCGTAGCACCGTAGCTAAGAGTCGTAGCTTTTTGTAGCTATTAGTAAGAAGTAAGATATATGTACGGTGAAATCTAATTTGATGTGTCGAAATCGTATGTGCTTTAAATGTCATTTTAAAGTTAAATATATTAAAAACCGCTGAAGCCACTGGTAAAAGAAACTATAATTATCTATGTTCTTATCTCATTTACTTAGGGTCTGTGCACCATATTTTAGACCTCCATATTTTTCCTTTTTCTGTCATCACTCGTCACTCCCTTTTTCATTATGTCTTTCACGCAACTCTTCTAATGTATTCCTTATGTGATTGTTCGATATTTTTTCTGTTTCTGTACTTTATAAATAAATAAATTATTCTCTTTCTAGGCCTACCTAAAACGGTATACCTGCACACTCATAACTAAAGTTAATGTCACGTGAAAAATGTGCGATTCTTCTCTCAAGACATCAGACTTCCTCTTATTTTGCTAATATTATAAATGCGAAAGTTTAGATGGATGTTTGTTTTGTAACCTAAACTGCTGAACGGAATTCGAAGAAATTTGGCATAGATGTAGATATAATCAGGAAGAACACATAGGCTCACTAAGATTTTTTCCTCGCGGACAAAGTCACGGGCGCAAGCTAGTAAACACATTAATGTTATTTGACACGTAAATTGCTATCATTTGTCGTTATCATAATTATCCAGTAATTTAGTTTCGACAAACTAAATCAAAGGCAAGGACGATATTCCCTCGTTCACTCAATATTGAGTTTCGCTGCCGGATTTACTGTGATATGTTATCTTAAATCAGAATTATTCATGCAGATTCTATGTACATATTCAAATCATTGTAATTATAATATATGGTACATAAATACTTCTATATTTAGTAATGTTCACAGTTTTTCATTCCCGTTCAGTTGATATATCTTTTTTAATTAATTTTTTGCTTAGAGTTAATCATACTAATATTATAAATGCGAAAGTTTAGATGGATGTTTGTTAGAGCTTGTAGCTTAAACTGCTGAACGGATCTTGATGAAATTTGGCATATATGTAAAAGATGGTCTCGAAGAACACATAGGCTTTCAACTTTTTTTTTTAATCCCACACGGATGCAGTCGCGAGCGAAAGCTGGTTGATTTATAATGTTTAACACTTGATTGAAGCAATTTATTATATTTAAAATCTTTAAGGCTTTACCATAACAAAATCCAATAGTCTTGTACTTAATATTGATTTGTATTAACGAACGTCGGTGGCTCAGTGGTTTAAGCACTTACCTGTAATCTACAGGTCTTGGGTTCGAATCCCGCCATGTACCAATGTGATTTTCGATTTTCTAAAATTTCATAAGTACATAAATTACCCGACGTTCTTACTGTGAAGGAAAACATCGTGATGCAACTGCACATATCGGCGAAGAAATTCAAAGATATGTGTGAAGTCGACCAACCCACACTTGGCCTGCGTGGTTGACTATGGCTTAGTCACTCTAACTTCAGGGTAGGCTCCGAGCCCCTCGGTGGGGACGTATAGTGAGCTGGTGACGATGATGATTAACATCTTAACTAAAAAGCTATATCTGAGACAATCAATCAAATTCTATTTTATCTTCTAAAACCCATTCAACTGTTCAAGCTATAAGATCATGCATATCCCGAGAAATTTATACACTAAATTTCTCGGGATATGACCATCTAAATAAAGAAAAAAAAGATATTTTTTTTGTACAATCTACAAGAAAATATAATTTAAAGTTCTATAGTACTCAAAAAAAAAAACAATAATATATCTATTCGTATACGTAATATGTGTTTCCATTTCAATCTCAAAAATATTAAAACTTGTCTAATATCGAGAATGTCTCAGTGGCCTAGTTCTGATCCACCTGTCTACACCAGAACTTGTCATCTGCGCAGTATATAACATAGTGCGGTAAACATTTAAGTAATCAGAGTGACGCCTTTTATCATCTCTAGAAATATATATCGATATTATACCATGGTTACTTGACTTGAACCATACAGCAGCACATACTGTGCCGACCCTCCATAAGGGATAAGGGCAAGTGGATGATGATGACTTGACTTGAACCAAACCCTAATAAAATCCTGGAGTTTTTATTCATCTATGATATAGAGAAATAGATTTAATATGTGTTAAATTTTGCTACGTTTCAATTTAATATAGAAAAAAAATTGACGTCTTTAAAAAAATCTAATTTGAATTTCGTCTAATACGCAAAAATAATCGTCCAAAAAATTTTATTAAGTTAATAAAATTGTACAATAACGTATGATTTTTTTAAGTTTTTAATGAATTGATAAAATTTAAAACTTACCTGACGAAATATTCACCATTCAATTTTCACACAAGAGTTTAAAATCCACTCGTTCAATGTGTTTCAAACACTTTCACTTAACACTCAAATATTTAACTTACATAAAAAATCATTTTCACATAGCCACATTTATACCGTCTCACTGAAAGTTTCACACTCGAATATAAAAAAATCGCCCCGTTTCACTCACGCGATACTTTCGAAATATACGCATCAAATACGTCCAGACTCCTCGAATTTCTACGAGTAACTAACGTACACAGCATTACCAGGGATAGGATTTTGTATGTGTGCGTACAGTTACACTGTCTGTGTTTGTATACAGATGGATATTTCTTAGTGTGAGAGTGGTTTCAGACGCTTGTGTCAGTGATTTCAGACGATTCTGCGCCATCACGGCCCAAGATTACGAATGTGTTGGTCCATCACCTCGAAATGTACGTGTGAGGTATAGCCGGGGAAAATATATGCCTGTAACAGACATTTGGGAATGGATAAATATTGTGTATTCACTATATAAAATGCAAGCTGTTGCGACTTCGTCATGAAATTAAAAAAATATAGCCTATGTTACTCGATGATAACTTAGCTTTTTAATGGTGTCAGATTCTTTAAAATTGGCTCAGTAGTTTCTAAGTTATTTCAATACATACAAAAATAAAAACCTTTCCTCTTTACAACATTACTAGCTTTCGCCCGCGACTCCGTCCGCGTAGAATGAAAAATAATGAATAGCCTATGTGTTCTTCCATACTATTCTCTACATCTATGCCAAATTTCATAGCGATCCATTCAGCCATTTAGGCTACAAAGTCTTACAAACATCCATCCATCTAAACTTTTGCATTTATAATATTAGTATGTTTAGTATGATAATAGAAAGGTATACTTTCAAAACTATCTGATTTTTAACCAAACATAGAAACAAACTAACTTATTTCACTGACTAATTTTATTACTTAATTGTTAGCTATTGTAATTTTATTAAACAGCCTCTCATACATTTTCTATCATATTCATCCTTTTCTTTAAAATCCTATTTGTTTTTTTTTTAGTTTTTAAGCTATGACCATGATCCCACCGACTGAGAGTGAAGATTTCGTCGTTTACTCAGAATTCACAGTTTTTCGATTAAATTCGGATTTATTACACCTTTGAAACACGAATTCTGAAATATATTTTTTAACTAAATTTGACGTAGACAATTTGAACATTAGAGTTTACGATTTTTGTACATCGTGAGATGTTCTGATAGATTTTGGTTCATCGAAAAATATCTTACTGATTCTACACGTAAAGGAAATCCACAAATTACTATCTTTATTATAACTGAGCGGAAATATGTAGTTGAATATATTTGCTCAATTTCTACACGCTTCAGTCGTGTTCAAACAAACATTATTTGTGATATCAAAATATTTAGTCGCAACGAAATGAGTTTTTGTTGATAGAAAATATTATGTCCAATTTAACCAGCCTTGTAGTATTTATCGATATATTTTTGGGTTGAATTAGACGCGGAGTATTTACAATTTATTATATCTTTTCTTACTAATATTATAAAGGCGAAAGTTTAGATGGATGTTTGTTAGAATTTGTAGCCTAAATGGCTGAACAGATCTAAATGAATTTGGCATTAATGGAAAGTCAGGAAGAACACATAGGCTATTTACTTTTGTTTTTTATTTATTCCAAGCGGACGGAGTCGCGGGTGAAAGATTCATTGTCAAAGTTTCCTGTCTAAACGGACCTCCATAAAATTTGGTATCTAGATATAGAGCAGTCTAAAAGAACTTAGGCTACATAATTTTGATTTTATTTTATTCTACGCGGTCGAAGCCGCGGCCGATAGCTAGTTGAATGCCATTTTTAAAATAGTTGAGAATCATAATTTGGAGTTTAACGGCCAAATATTGAAATGAATCTTTAATACTTCGCTTTGGAAACTCGGCATAAAATCTGATAGATGTCCAAATTAATAAATAGATTTGTTGTTACATACTCGTATTTAAATACAGTTTCAGTATTCGGTCCATAGTCCCATATGTTCCCTGATTTTTCCAAGTACCAAATAACAATGCTAAATAAATTATTGAAGCACGGATGTAACTTTCCCAATCGGTACATAAGCTCGAGTGGTATCGAAAGACAAAAAGCTCTCGAAAGTTGTGAGAACTCTGTCAATACTATATTAAAAGCGGTTAAAAATAGCCTTAATTGGAATGTTATGTACAATGTTTATATAACGTTTAGAGGATATTTTTAATATAATTAGATGAAAACGACTTTCTCAGCTTGCTTAACAATTTCCTGTTTACATTAAGCAATTTGTATATAATAAATTAATCGAGGATTATATTTAACTTGTTCAAGTTGTTTTTCTGACTAAACCCTTAAATGCACGATTATTTTTAAATACCATAAATTGAAACGGGTAGTAAATTGAACGTAGATTAAAGGAAAAAAACGTATTTTCAAAATTATCTATTGGGTAAGGAAGAAAAGACTGATGTATACAGCACAACATAAGTAAACATATTTTTTTTAAATTGTGCCATAGGTAAGGTCGAACAAAAAATTGCAACCAATTAGAGTTGCATTTCTTCCCGGTCTAAAAACTCTCTAAGAGAGTATAATATGGTCATTTGTTTTTTTATTGCATGTCATTGTCTACTAAATATTGTTTAATATCTGATTTCAGAATTAATTTGTCCGTAACGTGGCGAATTCACGCGAGCTCACAAATAATTATCATAAAAGCAATGTAAACAAGGTTTTTAGATGCCAATAAGAATGGCCTCGCCCTTTTATTTCAAGCCACACTATACTTAGAAATAAATTATGGCTTACGAATGTATTTTTTAATATTTTCTTAATCAAAGAAAAAATGAAACAACGTTTTTTTTCTGTTATAAGAAATTTAAGAACTACGCTAAGTGGTTTAAAATAAAACAGACGTAACTT